GGGGGTGGGGGATAATCTAGACCTTTACCTTTTATTTTCATTTTTATTATAGATTTTTATTAATTATTTTAATTTTTTTTCTCATTGATTGGTGAACTTATTAGCAAAAATACCACGAATACGATACCACGTCGTACTTGTTAAAAGATGATGCATATAGGGTGACAGGAAAATTGCTCGTATTCCTCTCAATAGGAGGAACTATCACTAATCTGAAATGATTTAAACTTTACCCCTTGGGGGTTGGAAATGCACCATTTTCGAGAAAATCTACTTCGGTTTTCTTGCTACAAAAATCCAAATTTTAGCGATCAGATTATGGAAAAGTTTAAGCCAAAAAGTAATATTTATTTTTTTTTTAAAATTCGGATTCTTGTAACAAAAAAACCCAAGTACTTCCTTGAAAATAGTCTATATCCGATACCTAAATAATAGGGGTTAAATCATTCCAAATTAGTGACAGTTTCGTCTCCCGAAACGAATACAAGCAACTTCTTGTCACCCTGTATATGTAATGGAGTATCCCTATATCCGATTTTGAACTTGCCACTGGCGTATAGAAGCATGATTATTTTCAATAAACGATTTCTTTGAACGGGATCCAAGTAATTAGTATTGAACATAGAACATATGTACTTAATATAACAACCTTCAAGTTCAGTAATCAGAAGTAATTTTATACAAACGTCAAGTTATTAAACAGAACTGAAAATGAGCTGCAAAAGCGGATGTCTATAAAATTTTGCGAGAATTACAAGAAATTAATCAAGATCGTGTTACACGCGATGAGAACCTAAATTGGCTAAAGTATCGATCTACATAATTGCTCAAAAATTGTGTTTTAGTTGATTTTTCCAAGATTTTTCAAAATTATTAGTGTTAAATTTAGATAGATTTTGCTGCTGTTTTTGTTAAATTCAGAAATTTTAGCTTTCGTATTTAGATTTATTTCTTTCTTTTACTGTTCAAAGTCCAATCCAAAGGAATGTATTAAGAAAGAGTCAATTGCCTGGCCAATTGATTTTTATTAACAGATAAACGAAATAAAAGAAATATGTAATTTATATATTAATGCCGTTTTCAACTTAAAAAACGTTTTCATAAGATATCAATAAAGTGCAATGTTGATGTTTATATTTGTTAGAAAAATTTTACTCTGTGCTTTTCAAGGACAAAATTCACAACAATACATGAACAGCTAGTAAATACTAAAATACACATATAAGAAGTAAGACATTTTTAAAAGGTAAACAACAAGGGTATGTAAAAATATTTATGAAAAACCAGTTGATATTCACGCAATTTACAAATAAATATCACCACAATCAANTTTTTTTATACACAAAATTCGCCGAGCAAAACCCGAAAATGAAAACTATTGTTTGACCATCACCCCTCTTCCCCTTTATAAAAACACTTTTTTAATGTTTTGTAAGGTAATCGCGGAGCTGTACAGGTAAGAAACATAAACGGTGAGCGCGGCCCATTCCAGGTCCATCAATTTAGTTGTCAGTGAAACACGGTATTTTCTTCAGTAAAAGGGTTACCGTGAAATTCACATATTTAGGGGGTAGGTCGGCAAAACAGCCCATGAAAATTGTAGGCCAACATGACCGTTTGCTTTTGGTGAGATGTATTTACAAATTGCGCAAAAAACAGATCATAAATTTTCATATCTTCGTTAATTTGACATCTTCAGGGCAGAGGCGTTGTCATACGGACCAAAATTCTTGTAGGCCAACTTTATTATTAATTTTCTTATTGCATTATTTTATCATTACAGTAGGAGACAAATGATTAATTACCCACACATACACGTCATTATTCTGACGTGTTTTCCGATTTTGGGATTGAAAACGGTCCATTTCCCAGAGATTTCCCAGATAAAAAAAGGTTAAAATAAAGTCAACCTTAAAGACAACTGTTAACAATTTAAAAGAAAAAACAACGGAGCTATACTGTCAATTAACACTAACAATTCGATTTATACTATCTGACGGTTACTGTAAATCGCAGTCTGGAAGCAATAAAAAAATATAGTATAGGTACGTTTTAAATCTACGAGGAACGGCCAAGCCACAAGTTCAGTTTATGAAGACTATAGGTAAGGAGTTCAATCACTGTATATAGAAGTTGTGCCGAATTTAATAAAATAATAGAGACACCATTTGACTTGAAAAATATGAATGTATTCAGCCTGTTTCTGCAGGAACCATGGCAACGTTAATAATGCATATTCTACTTTTTATTTCATTGCCATTTATGACATCTGAAGATACAGGTTGATGGATGTTTAATATCAAGTATGACTCAAAACGTCGATCTTGAATTCATATCGATCGTACGGATCTCTATTATTTTATGAAATTTTCTGGGCGATTTTCACATGACATTACATATGAAAATTGAACCCTTTATCTACAATCTTTATGGTTCACTCAATTCTCGCTAATGATTTTTTGATCTGATCGCGACTTAAGCGTAACTTGACTCACGGAGAAAATGAAAAGGAAAATTTACCTAAATATTATAGCGACATTTACAATTTACCTCACTAACCCTTTGCTTCGTAAGCGAAAATAATTAGAATTACAATTTGGATTAGGTATTTTGTTGATATTACAAATTAAATTGTTCTAATTAAGAAACTTGAAATAACTTTAAAAAAAAACATGTCGAAATTGAGTTTATTGCAAGTTATCTAATGAATTCTACTATTTCTAGCGCAAATTCAGTCCTTTACAATAGAAAATTGTAATTTTTCGTTATCATAAAAATTTAGTTTTCTCCGTGCTGATAGTACGAAGTGGACCCAATGAGCACTCATAGAAAGAAAGCAACACAAACTGAGAGGATAGATACATTTCCTCACAAAATTTTAAAAAAGTGAAATTCAAATCCTTTAAAGCATTTTAGCCTGTATTCTGTCAATGGTCCTAAATTCTTACATTTGACTTATTTCACTTTGCTAATCATTTATCATCTTCAATCTCAAATGACTTCTTGTTAAAAATTTTAAGGGACATTGGATCCGGGGCGGCACTTTTCAGGAGTACCGGCCAAACCGGTATAAATAAAAATTTGCTTTCGAAGTCCATGTCCTGACAAAACGCGATAATCTATGTATTTTGTATTACAATATTTAGATCAAAATTATAGCAAAAATATGAGACAATCTTAGATAAAACCAATTTAGATATAAACAACGATATAAATGAATGCGCTCTCTTCATCATTTTCCGACTTTGATAAATAACGATGATTATGACATAATTACATTTTCATAAGTACCCACATACGTACGTACTTAACCCTTTTAAAAATGTCTTACTGTTTTAACACATTTCAAAAACAAAAAAAATAAATTACCATAAGTACCCACATACGTACGTACTTAACCCTTTTAAAAATGTCTTACTGTTTTAACACATTTCAAAAACAAAAAAAAATAAATTACCAAACAAAAAGGTACTCTCAGGTGTAGAATCCTCTTCGCAAGTAGCTAATATAAAAACAATTGTTATTCCTTTCACTTCATAAACAATACTAAAGCACTTTTACGAGCAGTAATGAATTTAAAACAAATTCACAGCGTTCCTCTTTATTTTTTATTGTTATTAAATCAACTCCACGCACCAACACTCTACGATCTAAACTAATGTAGGTATTGTTCTAAAACAATATCGCGACCTGAACCCGACCTGCTATATTCGCGACAATCGTCCACAGACTGCTTGGATCCCGAACGACATCGTCACATTTCACTCATTCTTGGAATAGAATCGGACTAATAATGTGAGTAGTGACGCGTTCGCTCATTTTTGTTAGTCATATTTGCGGGGAGTCGGCGACAAAGACAATCTATACAAGTACCTCAAAGTGTTACTAAAGGTAAAAACTCTCGCATTCGATCAATCGCAACGATCGATGCTTCCTCTAGCGCCGATCACGAAAAATTAATACGAAACGAAACGTTTCAAGACGAGAGGCGGCTTTTACCTTGAAATGATGAGGCATGTGATCGCACAAATGTATGCGTGTGTTTGTGTATGCGAGAGATACGGGCCACTATTTATTGTTATATCGTAGAGGCAACGATGAACGTGTAATTTTAAATAAAAACATAACGATTAGACGTATGCATAAGCACATACTAGCCAAGCTTCGTTTTATAAAGACATCGGCTATAACTACAACTCTGATGTAATGTAGGTTTTTAATAGTACCACAAAAGAATGATAGCGAAAAGCATTTTAATTGATTAAGATTAATTCTTTATACTTATATGTATATATGTATTAGTACTACGGAAAAATAAAATGGACATGACTATTTCGTCCTGACACTTTCAAAGCTTTCTCCTGAGCTTTCAAATAGATAGCTTTTCGATGATTGTGACCTTCCAAGTAATATTTATCACAAAATGTTCAGTTTGGCATTAAATAAGAATTCTTGGTAAAGGTCTAGATGATGGGGGTGGGGATCGAAAGAGGAGGTCTCCCCCACCACTGTACCATAAAAAGTTCGTGGCGGTCTCACTCCCATAAAAAGTTATGGGGGTTCAAAGTTAATAAACATGCCAATTATTATACATTTCTAGGCATGTAAATATTTATATAG